CGTTGCTGTTTACAAAATGGAAAAAAAACATGAACGGGTCGCGTTTTTTCGCTCGGGGTACAACAGGATATCGAGATAGCCGTTCCCATCGTTCCGTTTCAGTTTCTCCTTCATTCACCCAACGGGAAAGGGAACGGTCGGACGGCTGGAGAAGAAGCTCGAAATTCGGCTGCAATACCGACGCCGAAACGACCCGCGCAAACCGAACGAATACGGACGTCCCCCCTTTCCTATAAATGCAGGCGCGACACTCCGTGCACGCGAAACAAATGAAACTGCGTTCTTCTCCATCCTTCCGACGACGAAATCGTTTCGGCTGAGGGGGACTGGGGTAATTCGATGAAACGAGGAACAAGAGGGCCAGGGTCGGGAGTAGCGAATGTAATAGATGGGGCGAAAAAATAGGAAGCTTGACTTGCAAATAGGATAACAAAATAAATAATAGAAGCATTAAACATGATTAATCCACTTAACAACGTAACTAGGGCGTAATAATTAATAATAATTAATTAATATAATAATATAATATTAATAATAATAATAATAATAATAATAATAGAAATAATTATAATCGTACGAATGTGTTAATAATTACAAGAACTGGTTGTCTGGCACGGCGATCGCTTAATTGCCCGAAGACAAGTCGAACGTGTTTCACGCATCGTTTCCCTTCTTCATCTTCTTCTACTCACACTTCGTTTCATTTCGTGCGTTGAACGGGCGTCTCGCGAGCGAGAGATTCTCCCCAGTTTTAAGGCTGAATCACTGGAATCGGGGAGGGACGTCGGGATGCGGAGCGACGATAACACTGTGCCAATTAGCAAAACTTTCGCCGAGTTTCCGATTCGCAATATCTTTCGGTTTTTGTTCGTTCTGTTCGTTTCATTTTTGTCCTCGCGAACGAGACGACGGGATAAAGGAAAGGAGTTCAACGCTAGAACCACCAGACTGGTCGAAACGACTCATTTTCTTCTTTTCTCGACTGATGTCTTCTTTTTGCCATTATTGAAACGATTAACATCAAACATCAAGTATAGATGCTTTTCAGAGAAAGTACTGAAGAAACTGATTTAGTAGTACGCAAACTGAATCAATTGAAATCTGAATAGATGCACTCTCGGAGATTCCGTAGGGAAATTTCGAAAAGCCGATTTGTCTGTTCGGTGGTTCTATTGTTAACGAAGGGTGCTCGAGAAACCGAAAGAATTCTTGGATCGGCGCACGCATCGCGTCGTGGCTCTCCTAAACCGTCGAGAGGCCTTCCGTCCCGAGGTCCCCTCCTTCTTGACCTCCTTGTCTCTCCGACAAGCCACCTTCCGAGTAATCCCGTTCGATCGACAGAGGCAAGTTAAAAATGGCAAGCAGAGAGCGACAGTTTTCTCCTTAATGGCTAATTGCTCGTTCCGTTCCTCCCCTGCGCGGGGGGACGCTTAAACGGTAGAGACTAATTAGAAAAAAACCTCGGTATACAAAAATACAGATATACATACCCATGGCGCGGGTCACGCACACCATTACCACCGTGTTTTCCTGCTTTACAATCTGTCCTTCTGTTCGCCTGTTCGTTTGTACGTCTGTCCGTCTGTTTTACTGTGCGACGAGTACGAGCGTCCTTTGTAAGGAGCGCCGTACGCGTGATTCAAAGACAAAGAAAAAGAAACGGTCCAAGGAAGATGAAAGCAGAAAGGAAAACATTTGGGAGTGGGCCACGATATAAGTGCATCACTTTTCGCCTCTGAACTGTGGCCACGGACGGCGAATCCACCGGACAATGAGCGAGTTATGGCAAGGGAGAAGGCAAAACGGTCGAGATTGAGCAAGGTTCGATTGTGGCTCGCGCTTGGTTCGCGCGAAATCGTGTCCAATGGATACGTCGACGGCTCGTGTCTCCGTTCGACTATCATCGTATATACCGATTAACACGTTGACTTCCATGGTGGTCGCTGGTGACCGATGCTTCTATATTGCTTGGAGACAATTACGATGGGAAATAAAAATATTTAGCAAAGTGGGTAAATAGTAGTGTAACGTAACAACTGTGATACCAAATCATTGATTAGTTTGTAGGATTTTATTCTCTATTTTTATGGTTGCTATGTAAGAATAAATAAATATATAAAATGTTGAAAATTCTTGTGGCGGTCAACGCGTTAAAGGATATTTTACCCTGTGACACCGAGTTCTAGCCGGAATCGGCGCTATGGTCTTAATAAAAGTCGACTGACCGCTCGAGATCACTTCCCCACCAACAACACGCATGATCGTTTGTCCCGTATATTGCATTACTAATTATAAAAGTGGAAACGTGTGACTAAAATTTAGAAATCTATTTCATGCGTAACGATGACAGTAGCGTAAAAGTAAGGAATCATGTAAGGTGTGTTACGAACGTGAACAAAAGTTACAGAGAAAAACACGAGAACAGGGAGTGAAGAGTGTTTCTGATAGGAAATATACCAGCCATCTGTATTGTTTTCCAATATATTTCTTGGAATTGAAAATTCTGCCACATTAAGAAGACACAAATAAATAAAAAATAGAGAATACAAACAAGAATTGGGAATAAAATCAAATGAATATTCCTGTATAGTGATATATTAAGTGTATCCTAAGAAAGATAATTCGTTTCGAGGTTCAACGAAAAAAACGATAGTGAATGATAAACGTCAAAGGATCTCGAGCGATCGGTGAACTCTTTCCTCGACCACGGAAACTCGAGGACGTCGGTCAAAGAGGGTTTTCGAGGCTGTGACTGTCCCGTAGATCGCATCGAACCGCGAAACACCATATACGCCTGTGAAGTGGTGAGTATTTTCGAGGGACTGTCCCGAAGCATCGTGGATCCGAATATCGTTGAAATCGACCAACACTTCGTCGGGATACGCTCAGAAATCGATCAATAGTGTACGATCGAGAGAATCGGACGGGTCCTGCAAAAGGATTGAGAGTGGAACAAGCGATTCCAGTCAATCGAAAATCGTCGTTTCGAATAAACGTTGAATCGTTAAATAAATTCGACGCGCACTGCGCTCGGTGACCTTTCACACCGATATTTTCATTATCCGCCCGTTCCTCGGCTCGATTCACGGAGCCCGTCCGACGGCGTGTAAAAAAATATTTCTCTGCTCCTTCGCACGCGTCGCAACATTCTCACGCCAACAAATACAATGAGAATAATATTAATTATTAATAATTAATAATATTAATATTCGTAATAATAAAAAACGCAATAATAATATCAATATTACCCACTAATTAACGTTACGTCTAGACGATTTATTATGCTTTAAGTTTCTTTCATTCTGCAGGTACGATTACGTTCGTTTTATTCCATTATTCGTTTCATTTCTTTCTATCTTTCTTTCTTTCTTTTTCCTTTTTTTTAGTTCCCTTTCTTCGCCGTGAGCCGAGCACGCTCTTCAGCTCCTAATCTTCGCGTCTTCTCGCGCCCACCAGTCATCCTCGAAGCTCTTATAACGTTTACAGCGGTTTCGGTCGCGAGTAACAATAAATTTCGATATAAATATATCACGACACGGTTTCAAGAGGAATTTCGCAACGCGCAATAAAAAACATTCTATTCCTAGTCGATTAACAATTAAACCGATCGATGCTCGGTGCGTTTCGCGTTCGAACAGTCGTCCCTCTGTGACGAGCGTATTTTAATCGGCGAACTGACGATTTCAATGGATCACGAGCGACGACGACACAACCACGACCACGACACATAAGTTTTCCGAGAATAACGCCGACGATTCGATGATTCACCGATAAAAATCGTTCCTTTCTTTCGTTTTTCTTTTCTTAATCGCGTAACAACGGTTGATTAAACGGCAAACAACCAAGTGGATTTCTCGACAGGCAAAATTTGGCACAAGGTTTCACTCTTGGATCCCAGCGATCGATCGTACCGATCGTGTACTGACACCGACGTCTTCGAGCACCGTTTTCATGAATATTCGAGGTGAAGTCGCGTGGGAATGCATTCGGATCGCGTATCCAGTCCGGCTGCGTTGATGAAAACACAGAAATCCTTTGATCGAGACCACGCGATCGGGAAACTCCAACAATGATCGTCCGTCGAGCAATGTCGAAGCCAAAGAATACGAAACGCGACGCCTGAAAGCCACGAAAGCGTCACATTTTCCGATTTTCCAACGGAAGAGAACGTTAACGGTGTCTCAGAGATTCAACTAAAAACAAAAACAAACACAAATTCTCTTGGCAGTAACTAAAAACTAAATTCCGTGTAAAGCTACTGAACTTTGCGTTTTTCGACCCTTCCGTCACTGACGATCGTCAACGTGTAGTCACCTCCTGAAATTTCGCACGATTCGACACTGGATTTACGGAGGAGTTCGTCACATTTTCCAGATTTTGAAAAAAGATGATTCATTAATAATAACTCTTCAATTCCGAATATCCGTAAATACAGTGGTTGACAAACTCGAATCGAGTTCATCCGTAAAATGTGTCCGTGTAACGAAAGGGTTGAAACTGCATCGCGAAGAACTCGACGGAGGTTTAAGCATTGCTGGAACGATCTCGCGGTGGCAACGTTTCCGACGTGCGGCGACGAACTCCGGCGAATATTTCGCGTTCGGAGAGGAAGCAACGGGGAAGACGAAGAGATACGATAATACTGTGACAAGCTTGAAACGGGTTCGCGGGAAATTCCAAGATCGGCGAGACAATTGTCAGACAACACGCGGGGACAGTTTCCCGAAAGTAGACAACGGGAGAGTGTTCCCCTAAACCAGCGGTCTCTTCGAAACCGTAAGGTTAGAGGATAAAGTTGGGGTAATTCGATAAAATCGCCGTTCACCGTTGTCCTCTTCAACGCCTGCACCGTCGTCGACGTCGCCACGACTTGTCGCCGCCGCCCTGGGTGCTCGCGAACGCGGCCGGAGATCCGTCTCTCCCCCAAGATCCGCGACGGACCGCGTCCCGATCGGGTCATCCACCGGGCCGTCGTCATTCGGCCTTGATGGTAGTCGAGGGCGAGGCCATCTCCTGCGGGAACGTGGGGCTGTCTTCACCGGCAAGGAGGCCGGGCTCACTCTTCGGGGTCGGGACGTCGGGGAATCTCGCGTGGGTCCTCAGGTGCCTGGTGATCATGTCCCGACGGCAAGCGGCATAGGCGCACTGTGGACATTTGTACGGCTTCTCGCCGGTATGTGTTCTCTGATGGGTGCTCAGGTGGTCCGACCTGCTGAACACCTGGCCGCATACCTTGCACGTGTACGGTTTGACGCCCGTGTGCAACCTCATGTGTCTAGTGAGCATGTCCGACCTGGCGAAGCTCCTTTTGCATACGTCGCATAGGTACGCCTTCGCGGACGCGTCCTGCGGGCCCTGTCTGCGGTGCCTGGACGCCATGTGCTTCGCCAGCCGATCGTGCAAGCTGAACATCTGACCGCAAACCGGGCAGACGTAGGCGACGTCGGCGCCGGGCGGCATCTCCTCCACCACCGGCGAGACCTCCAGATTGTAGCGGACGGCGACGCTCTCTTTAGTCGTCGGTGATGCGACGTCGCCCTTCACCACCGGCACGCTCACGGAGCCCCTGGACACGATACCGGGTGGCAGTAGCTGGAGTGCGGGCGGTCTGCCAGAGACCGCGGCCGCAGCTGCCGCGGTTGCCATCAGGTTCTTCATCGAGAGGTCCAACGGCGACTCTTGGGGGCTCGTGGTGTCGCTCTCCAGGGAGCCGCTTCTCAGCGGATGGTTTACGAACACGGATGAGGTCGACAACGGTGGTTTTTGGTCCCATCCCGGCACCAGGTCCGAGTCAGAGTGACTGCGGCCTCTGAATATGTCGGGCAGGTACTTGGTGTGCATGTAGTGCTCGAAGCTGTACGACGACAGGGATCCCGGCGTGAGCGGCGGCAGGCTGAGAGGAGTGAGCGGCGTGAGCGGAGTCAGCGGCGTCAACGGAGAGGTCGGCGAGGGTAGCACCATCGGCGGGGTGGCCGTCTGGGAGCACTGGACGCAGGTGCAGCCGGGATACTTCGGTGCGGACGATCTCTGGTGAGATGGATGGAGGTGGTCATATACATGGTTGGCGTTGTTCCTGTGGTGATGCCTGTGCCGGTGGCGATGGTGATGGGGGTGATAGTGCGAGGGATGATGGGGGTGATGATTTTGTTGCTGATCGGCATCGTTCGCGCCACCCTCCTCTTCACTCGGCGTCACCGGCTCCTCGCTCTTCAACCTCTTCAGCCTCTTCCACCTCATGCTGGACGGTGGATCTGCGGCCGATCTCGAGGACGACCTCGGGGAACCGAATACATCCTCCTCCTCCTCGGACGCCGGGCCGCTACCCTCGAATCTCAGAACCTCTCCTTCGGACGGTGAGCTCCGATGTTGCAGGATGTCCAGCACTTGGTCCAGCCTTTTCCGCTTACGGAGGTTCCGGTGATTGCGGTTCGCAGTCGCTGCCAGGGTGTTGTTGTTGGTGCAGGAGGGCGGCGGCGGCTTGGCCGGACCCGGGGGCGCGGCTGCAGCGTCCTCCACGGCGCTCTCGGCCATCGTCATCGAGGATGCGCGGCACCCGCCGCCTGGGCCCTTTATGCCGCTTACTACACCCTCGGCTACCACCGTACTGCCTCCCACCTCGTCCTGAAACAGACAAGCGAAACGCCGCTCTTACTCTTCCTGCTCTCGGTCCTTTTCAACGTTCCCTCTGTAAACGTTGCCGGCAAATTACATCCCCCCGCGGCCTCGAACCTCATTTCCGATTGCTCGTGAAATCGCTCGGCGCGTGTAATTCCACGAATCATCGTTCCGCCGGAGCGTAGAGGTCGGCCGAGCAATCGAGACGGGAGTAGCTTATCTTTCGGTATCTGCCCAGAGAGGATCGTCACGCGTTGAATCGAGCGATCGTCCGAGTTAAACTGAGGGGAAAAGTCTCGGCTCGATCCTCGGAGGGTTGAGGTTTCAACCCTTGGCAGATTTTGTATTAACATTATATCAGTATAAAAGTAGAGAAACATAAATTCACGCAAAGATCGGTATCATTGGAAAATGTAGGAAACGTGTTCAGAGGTTATATTCGCTGTAATTGCTTACCGAATCGACAGGACGCAACAATGGCGAAAAGAAGGGACACGAAGAAGCAACGGTATTCGATCGGAATAGCTGTCGATCAAGGTAAAAGTAGATCGGACGCAAAACTGTGTGGGGACGGAAACGCGAATCGCGGTCGCGGTAAATCACCATTAGATCGTTCGTTCGATTTCCGCGCTGAGACGGTGTCGGCTGACAGTCTGTCATCGGACTCGGTGCGGCCATTAGATAAAAGGTGAGACGATCGCGTGATCGATTCTGCTTCCGCGGCAGTGGCGACGCGCGCCTGCCGTTGCAAAATTCACTAGCGCGCGAACACTCGCGACCTCGACGATATTCAACGATTTTCCCGTGCGACGTTTGCCACGCGAGAACTACCGAACGGTTGATCTGCCTTTTCAATAATTGTAAAAAAGTAGTCAGGATCATGCTACTGTTAATTAAAATCGAGAAGAAACGAACGGTAGAAGCAGCGGCTGAGCATGGATGTAATGTTCAAGGAACGCACGGGCAAAACGGCCGATCAGCGAATTCCCGATGCCACGGGCACGAGCAAAAATCTAGCCCCACGACGCTCGAGCTTTAGTGCCTTTTATGTTTGTTCATTTTAATGTGGCCGGGAGACCACACGGCTCGTCTTGTTCGACGCGACAACGGCACTTTGTCATAAAACCACGCGCAAGCGGAGTGCTGTGTCCGGCGACCATTTGAAATTTAAATCGCCCGCGCGGCGCACACCGCGAGCGCATGAATCAACTCGCACGAACGATGAATCGGGGCTGAATAATCCTCGTTTTTCAGTGTAGGCGACTCTTTCCGCGGAGAAGTTGTTCGGTCCGTCCGGGGACGCCATAAAATTTGTAATCCCGCCTGTCTACTCCACGCTCCACCCCTTCACGGGTAAATTGATCGCCGGGAATTAGTAGTCGCGTCACAGGCAGACTGAATACTTTAATGCCGACCATCCGCGCGCGATATCGATACCAAACCCTGATCTTATTTCTGGACCGGCGAGGACGTTCGTGAAGAATTCACGCGATTTGTCGCGAACATTATTTATTGCAGAGCTCGAGGTGGAACGCGGTCTCGTGGGAAACGGAGAACATTGCATAATTAATCGAACGATATGATAGCGGACAGTTCATTTTCGTAAAACGGGTCTGCATTCGGGGAATCTTGTACCGAAAATTCCGTACCTTCGTGAAATATTCGTAATACTACTACATCGAAACCAAGTAAAATGATTGCAAACAGAGTCTAATTCACATTCCTTCACTGAGGATACTTCGAACACAGGATCGCCGTGTATACGATTAAACGAAAGACACGACGCGACGATTATCATCGAAACCGTCGCAGTAAATTTTTCCCGAGCAACGCCCGAAATGGATCCGTCGCGGCGCGACGTCTCATAGAAATCGAATTCGTTTTTTGCGACGAAGTTAGCGCGGCTTGCCCGATGGGGCAAGAGAAAACGCCGGTGAGAGGCAGCGTCGATTACCTAAATTACCCGCAGTAAATTAGACAGGGACGACGCGCGTTTAAATTTTCGATCGCGATTTATGGCGGCGATTATGCGTAAAATATATTCTCCGGAATTCCGCACGGATGAAACGCGCCGCCCGCTTTCAACGGCTCACGGTTGTTGCCGGCGGTAGGCCGCCGTTGACCGGTGTCTCCCACCCGCCCTGCCCCTCCACGACGTCCTGGACGTCGGAGTCTCGCGGAACCCGTCGACATCCCACGCGATTTCCCAGTCGCCGGCTATTAGTCGCATCCGCGGAATAGAAATTCGCGTTCCCGGAAGCTGTGTTCGCGACACAAATGTCTCGCCAGTGAGGACTTTCCTAGCGTGGACCTACCGCGCGCATTCCTCTACGTACGGAGTCAGTTAACGCGCGCTTCGAAACCGATTCAGTACCGGGAGACGAAACCTTTCCCAACAGAGGCGGCTAAATATCCTGGCCACCGCTGACACGGGAAAAATCTGCGGAAGATCGCAGATAATGATCAACTGCGAAGAAACTGTGCGCGTGCGTGCTCGCGAGGTTTCGTTTGCGACATCGGCTCGCGCGGCCTTCAACTTTACACCTTCGCGATTCGGTTAGCGGAGCGGTCGGGTGGGGCAACGCCGAATCATCTCCGACGTCGCGTGAACGTTGGTTTCGGCGACACTGAGAAGATTCGTGAATTCGTGATTCGAGAAAAGTGTTTATGCGATTGTTTGCATCGCTAGTAAAGGGTTGTCTTGTCATTTCACTTCGCAAAACTCAGTTTAGATATTCGGTTTCTCATTGTTCCAGCAAGTTGTTTCGTTTCATTCGATTTCGGACGATGAAATTGAAATTCTCCGAATGGTAATTTGTATATGTGTCTGACAAGAGAGATACTAACATCAAGGATTCGGTACCTCCATGGTCTTGTGCGAAACGAAACGACTGCAACCATGTATCGCAGCTTAGTGACGTTTAGTTCGGTAAGCATGATCCAACTGAACTTCCCTATCGATTCGATCTTCCTTTATATTCTCCGTCGACGGACTTCCATTTTCCACGGCGGATACACCTCGGGACCATTCGACGCCAATATTCGTATCGACGATCGGCGAGATCCGCTCGCGGATAGCGCGCGGAGAGTCTCACGGCGGCGGTCCCAGTCGTCCCTGTTCTTCCTGCCGGGCTCGAAGATTATCCTCTCGTTTCCTCCGTACCCTCCCTTTTCTCTTCCACCAGCGGCGTGCACCGGCGAAGCCCGTGACCGGGGCCTGCGCGCACAGTGCGTCGGTAGAATCTCGCAGAGAGAAAGGGCCCCGATGATCGGTCGTAAAACGTAAAGGGGACTCGTAAACGGAGTGAAAAGATGTCAGAACGTAAAGGCCGAGAACAGGTCCCCGACGAGGATGTGTGGGCGTGCGTGGCTGCCATCCTCGCTCTCCCTCTCTCTGTTTCTTTGTCTCTCTTCTTCTCACTCTCCCTCACCCTTCCACTGTCGCCCTCTGTACGTTTCTTCTTCTATTTCTTCCTCGCCATCCACGCTTCTTCTTCTTCCTTGACCGTTCATCTCTTCCTTTTTGCCTCTTCTCCTCTCGCGACATCGAGAGAGAAGCCGTCTCCCTCCAACCCCTGCCACCATACGAACGATTATTTCAAGCAGTCCGCTTAGCACGC